CGGAGGAAGAGGTTAGGGAGGAGGGATTTACAAGGGCGGAAAATCATCGGAAAAGGGTAAAAAGGGCGGATTTTCCGTCGTTTCATGCGAAAGCGCACCTCTCGATTTCGGGACACGATTTCGGTTCGAAACTGTTTTTTTCTCACCCCAAAAAACGCTTCCTTCGGACCGTCGTGATTCGTGATGTCTTTTACGCCTCTTCGTAAGGTCTTCGGGTTTCTTTAAAGCGTTTAAAACCTGTCGGAAAAGTGCAGGTTGCGTTTTCGCCGCAGAGGGGGGAAGCGTCCGGATGGTCAGGACGGACCGAGAGAGAGAGGAAACCTGAAACGATCCCTAAATCTAAAGCATAACGACAAGACGATCCTCCCTCTTCCGCGTGGCCGTCGTTAATTTTAACGATCGCTAAGTGCAAGCCTGACCTGCGATCGGTAATTCCGCCTGCTTTTACCGCCCGTTAAAATTAACGGTACGGATACGAAACGCGACCGAATGCGGCCGCGGATATAAGGCGGCGTTCACTTCCGTTTCAGCGTCGTTTCGAAATTTCCCGGTCACGAGGGCGACCCCTGTCCTTATTCTGGGGGAACCGAACCCCCGAAGAGTTCGTGAGATTTTTCATTTAAATTTTACCTCCCCCATTCCGTAATCGACGTAATGCTCTCGACGGTGACCGGCTCGCTTTTTATCGCTCATTAACATATCGCGGGGGCGCCGGACATTAAGATGGGACTCTAATGATAACCCCGTCGTTATGGAATTTTAAGGCACCCTCGATAATTCCCTCGAACGAACTAATCAAATCTCCCGGTCTTTGACCCCTTCGATTAAATCCGCCCGGTCTAAATTAAACGTAATCCATAATTTTCGTGAATTTCCACGCCTGGAAGATTTTCCGTATGTATGAAAAAAACCTTTTCCAGGATTGTGGATGGGTATAGAACACGAAGATTCGACGTAACATTTCGTGGGTTTAATTTTGACAGGATTCGTAATTGCTTAAAAAAATCACTCCGCATGCAAGATTTAATTTTTGACCCGAACATCTTTTCCAGTACCTAAGATCAGGTTGCAGAAATTCAAACTAACTTTAACACGATTTTTTGAAATCTCGGGCAAAGGGGGAGAAAATTTCATTTTTTACGAGGAGACCTTTGCCAAAGTTCCAGATAAGTATGAAGGACGAGGAATCGCCGGGAATAATTCGCGGTTCCCTGAACGAGCAGCGACGTGGCCGGTGGGGCGATTCCCCCCGAGGGGAACTTCCGGTACATAATTCCGCCGCCCCCGAAATTGGTTGTTTCAAACTTTTCCAAGACGACTGCGGTCTCCTGATTAAGTCCGAGGAATCTTCGTAGTTCCTTCTCGACGTCTCCGAATTTTCGTAATCCTCCGTGATAACGCATGCCGACATATTTCCCCCGGTGGTAGAAAAACGAGGAAACGCAGAAATAATTTCCCCCTCTCCCTCTCTCGATATTAATCGGCAAAATGGCGCCGGCGAGAATTTCTCGCTGATGGCGCATTCTTTTTATCTCCCTTTCTTTTTTGCGCGGTTTTCCGGTAAAAATCCCGAGGCTGATAGCGCATCACCGTTTCCCACGGAAAATGGTATCTTCTCCCACGGAGGCGTCGCCCCGGGACACGAGCTGGCAATTTTCCGCGAGTACCGCGACAATTAGCGCGATATTCGCGGGGGGTACCTCCTCCCATCTTGCGGACTTTCCGTTCCATTAGGCGAAATACCCTCGGAATTGCAAATCAGCGCTTAACTGACTTCTTGAATATCTTTGTCTCTACGTGACCGGGATGATTTAGCGCGGCTCAGGAGCGAGAGCGCCTCCACCCCCCCGCGGCTATCTTTATCTTCGACGTTGGGGCGGATTTATATCTTAAGGCGATATGAAAGTAGCATCTGCGGGATCAATTGTTTAAAATAAATTGCGGCGAGCTGGGGGTACCAAAATCTTCCTTGGGGTCTCGAAATTCATATTGTAAAGTTTGGAACGATTCGGTACCCCCCGGTTCGGAGAAAAGTTTCATAAACGAGACCCCTCGGAGGACACTTTCATATCGCCTTAAGAGAGATAAATGCGAGGGGAAAAAGAAATAGAAAAAGGAAAAAAAATTAAAGAAGGGAAGGAAAATCGTCCAACATGGCCGGGATTAATTTAGACGTAGAAAGTAGACGTTTAGGGGCAAGGGGGAGTCCCTGAAACGAGGGATTTCATTAGAGGGACAATCGCGCGTTAGTTCACTACCCCCCCACGCATCTGAATTTCCGCCTAAGCAATTCGTGCCCGTGCAACGGCCCGTTACGCGTTTTACGTCGCTGTAAAGTTTCGAATAGGTCGCCGCCTCGATGCCGGGAGCCTCGGATATATTGCGAATTTGTAGGAACGAGTCGGAGGGAAAGGAAAGCGCGAAGATAAGGTAACGCTCTGGCGAAGGTGGTCTCGTCGCCGAGGAATAGGCAAACAAAATAGAGGGTCAGTCGTTCCAGAGAGCGCTAGGAATGCCAGGAACGCGGGCAAGGCACGTTCCCTCGGGAATACAGTCTAACCTCCCGGGAATACCGTTTATACGGGGGATAAATCATCCCGGGGCTGTAAAAAAAATTCCGATACCTCTGGAAATTTCTCTCGCGGCGGGTTTCCACCGCGAGGCGTACCGCGGCGCCACTCGCCACGGCGGCGGGGAATTCGAACGAGGATTCGATTGATCTAACGTTGAGATGCGCGAAGTTGCCGAATTGTCGCTGGAAGTTCGAAAATGATGGGTTCTCGGTTTCTGATAGTCAGTGGGAGGACGCGGATGGAGGTTTGGAATTTTTTCCATTTTATATTTCTCAATTTCGAAAATTTCCTGGAGAGGAAGGTCTTCCCTCTCGCTGCCTTCGTTAGCGGCGCCCTCGACCGTGCGCGCGCCCTCTCCGGGTTCTCGTTCGAGATATCGATCCCGCACCCCCCGCGAAGTAATATGAGTAACGGTCGGGCTGGCCGCGGCGCGGCAAATTGGATCGGGGTCACGAAACAGCACCCGGCCGCCGTAAAAACGCCCGTCCGAGCTCGGCGCGACTAAATGTTTGCCTTCTCTCCCGCGTTTGTCGCATAAACCCGAGCCTTAATCAGCGTCGGCGGCGCCCGGGAACCGCGGCCTCTGATTGGCCCGCCGCTGACCAATCGGAAGCCGCGCTCGTGGCGCGCTGCCAAAAGTTCCAGACATGGTAAGTTACGCCAATTTTCGCCAATTCACCGGTCATCTCTCCAAAGCTTTCCTCTTCGAGAAATTATGAGAATTACAATTTTTTTTTGCTCTCACAATGACCTTTTAATGGCACCTCAACCGACGCCTTTTCTGAGACGAATAAAATGCAGATTTCGACCGGCGGACCAAATTCCTTTTCTTCGCCCGGGTTCTCGGTTTCCCCGGTGGCCATATTGGATTCTCGCGGCGTCGACGACATCCGGAAAGAGGACCGATCCGGCAGATTCGAGGGAGCGATCGCGGAATATTGCAAAGTCTCCGCCCGGAAGAAGGACGGGAGGGAAGGTAATTTGATAAACGAGCCTTGGCGTCGCCAATCCCGGAGTCCCGTTCCGGCGGATCCGTCCCGAGTGAAAAGATGGCTTCCCCGACGGCACGGTGATGTAAATACGATTACAGGGGGGCAGGGGTGGTTCGCCCCCGTGGGAGCGAAAATATTTGCGGGAGGGCCGCGCACCTGCCTGGATATCCGTCTTCCATCGGGCTCGCCCGGGGCCTCCGGCGAATGTTTGCTCGGCCATAATCATTCCGCTGATTCCGTTACGGGATACGTCCTTGCGCCCTCCACTCCCTATATCTCCGCTTTATGTATGTACATACCTATATATATCCTGCCCGCCCCCGGGATTAAATATTTGTTCCGCGGCGTAAATACCTCGCAGCCACTCGGGTCGACTCAAAGGGCGACGTCGGTCCATTGCGACTTCTTATATCCTAACCGTTATTTATCCTTAATCGCTTTAGAAGAAATCCCATTAAATTTATATCAAGTCAAGAAGATAAAAGTACATTTCGTGGGTATTCTTGAATCGACGGAGAGAGAATTTCACGATCCGGCAATTGAAGCGCCCAAGATGGAATAATGCCCTCGCTGTAAAACAAATCCCCATAGATTTGCACTAACGGAGATAATTAGAAGAAAATTCACTAGGTATCTCGGCTCGACGGGAGAGTAGGCAGGATCTCGGTCCAGCGGTTCGATCTTTCCTTGGCAGAAACCACCCCCTCTCGAAGAACCGCTTTTTCCGCGAAGAGGTAAAAAAATCCATCGGAGTCATTCGCCCCGTGGGGTCTCCCGATTTTTCCCGGGGTCGCGAGTCGCGTGTCCTTTAAAGCGGTCACTCGAACCGGCCATCCGGAGACAAAAGTGGTTCCCTACGTGGAAGGACGCCTCCCGGCGGAATCCCGGCCCGGGGCCTGGCAAACGAGACCCGCGAAATGGAGCAACACACCCGGGAAGACCTATACAACGTTAACGACGTTCCCCGTTGCCTCGGAGGAATTCCGTACATTTGCGCCCTAGTTCCCTCTCTCTCCCTCTCGCGACGCCCGCGTCGCGGCGTCTCTTTCTCTCTCGGGCGCGGCCGCCGTTTCCGCAGGTGCGCGCGGGTTGAGCCCCTCGGCTCGCGCAAGGTTGCACAACGGGGCGGCTTCGAAATGGAAGGTTCTTTCTCTCCCTCCACCTTTTTCCCCGTTTTCATTTTCTCCTTTTCTTCGCGGTCACGGCTCCCCCCTCCTTCCGGCCCACCCTTTATTTCCCGGTGCGCCTTTTCTCCCCGTCTAACCCCGAAGTCGATTCATTACCGCGGCTTTATTGTCGCCTGCGCCATTAATGATTGACACGCCCGACCCTCTGCCCCCGGGCGGATCCGCGGGCTCGTCCTTGCGACTTTTGCTTCTGCCCCCGATATATCGGATGATATCGGGTGGCTACGAATCGTATCTCTAGGACTCACCGACGACATCCAGGTGGACGAAGTGGCTCATGTGAGGTGTCGTGGAGACCTGGCACTCGTAGATGCCGCTATCCCGGTGCTGGGGATACTTGATCTGCAACGTCCAGTCGTCCGAGCGCATGTTGTGCAGTGCCCTGAACCGCTGGTCGCTGGTGTAGGTGTAGCTGCCGATGGTCAGCAAATGGATGTCCCTGTGGCGCACCCAGGACACCTGCAGCGACATCTGAAAAGACAACCCCATGATACCACCCATAAGTCCTGGAAACATCTCATTCGTTCCGAGCGCAAAAGTCGCCGGCGATTAATCAATCGACTTAATTGTTAATTTATCCGGCGTCGTAATACACCCCCGGAGAGGAAGGGTCCCCTCGGCAGATCCAGTTTCCCGCGGGATAGGAAAGAGGAGGATAACTATTAGCAGTCTCCCGGATAAGGATCGTATGCCGGGAGTTAAGTATATCCGGTCGGAGGTCGTCTTCCCTCCGAGGAATTAATAGGGTCGCTTTGCATATTATCTCCGCGAGCCGCGTCGAGGCCGCGAGCTAACATCCGCGGGGGGTGGAAACGGAACCTGGGGGCCTTAGGGTGATAATTAGACCAGGGTTGGCTGCCGGGGCCGGGTATTTTGTAAACCCCGGGGCAAAAAGTGAGCCCCGGCTCAGGAGACCGGCCAAAGTGAAAAGAGAGTCCGCATCTCGCGCCGGCTCTCTCCGTCTCTCTGGCTTTCTCTCCTCCTCTCGTCGCGGCCGCTTTTTTACCGGGACAATATTTAGCGGCGAAGTTAACGCCGAGCAAACCGAGTCCTTTGCCGGGGACACCCTCAAAGAGTCCCCACGTTTGCTCGTGGAAACGCACCTCGGGACCGCTCCCGAGGGCCTCCAGGGACTCCTGGGGTCCCAACTCGCAGATCTCCACGCTTTGCAGGGGAAGAGAGGAAAGAGAGATAACAGAAATGGCACGTGATATCGGTTTCTTGGCGTTGACCGGTAAGATTAAAAAAATTGCAGGAACTTCTGCCTCCGACTGGTATACATAAATTCCAAGTCGTTAATCCCTTTACCCCCAGAGGTGTGTCGGGAAAAGGTAACCCCCGCGCGTATCTCGAATTCGATCCAATCGACATCCACCCCGAGTCGATCGGATCAATTTCAATTTAAGTCCCCGCCTATCTTCGGGATCTCGCTCATAATTTACATTGCTCTCCACGGTCGCGTTGAAGATACGGATCCGAGTCCATTTATCGGCCGCAATTTGTCCCTCTACCTGGGGTTCTCAACGTGCGCGATATTATTCCCCCGGAAACGCCCGGGGAGCTCGACAATTCGGGCCGATGCCCGATAACCCCCTCGACCCCTTTCCCGAGGGGCGCCATTATTTTCGAGGAACTTCAGGGAAAGAAGTCCCGACGGAGTGAATCGCGCCCTTCCTACAATAGACCTCGAGAAATCGAGACTTTCGAGAGGTGAATTATTTTTTTTTTTACAAATAAGCCCGATCGAAGGTACCTCGAAAACGGGCTTTTTCATCGTCACCTTTAAAGTCTCTCGGGGATTCCATTTTTTTCTCGCTTTTCGCTCTTTCTCTCTACGCGATAACACTTGGGGGAACTTCCCTGCCAGGTGGCGAAATACTCGACACGTCTCGGGCCGAGAAACGCGGGTGGTTCCTTTCCCCGGAGCCGATCATTAAGCGGACCCGTTAAGAGAACAATCGCCAGGGCGGTAAAACGTCCGCCGGTGGAAACGACGGCAAGACAAACTTCCCCGCTGTAACCGGGAAGCGGACATGAAGGAAGAATAACACGGGAACGGCGAGCGAGGAGCAAAATCTCGCGAAGGAGGAAAAATAAATAATTGGAAAGTCCTCGCTCTCGGGCACCGTTCGCCGTCCGATCGAGGATCGAGAGGGGAAAAAGCCGCTTTTTTTCCTCCGTCTCTTAAAACACGTCCGCCCGATCTCTTTTTCCGTTTTTCCATTTTCTATCTTCGTCCTTTTTTTTTTTTTCTTTCTGGTGAAATCGTTAAAAGAGGGAGGACGATGAGAAAAATCCGGATAATAATTGTCAACGGTCGATATTTTTTGTGGAAACAATTTTCAATGGCGATACGGACATTGTAATTAAATAAAGGGGAGGTTTCCACCCCTTAGCAACTCTTGTCACCCTTGTTACCCACCCAGGGCGACCTCCACTCACCCGGAAATATTTCCAGGGACCCCCTGCGCCAAGTTGGTGGAGGATCCCCATAAAGCTCGCGGGGGGGGAGGGGCCCTATTAATCGAACTTCGCCAGGGTGGCATGCAAATCCCGAGGGAGGGCGTGTACCGTGTCCCGGGCGGAGTAAGTTTCGGTGTAGATTCAAGATGCGCCCCTTCGAGGACCACCCTGGCGGGATATTTCCGCGGATAAGTGGTTTCGCGAGGAGCGATCTCGACGGTTTAAGGGATGAAACGCAGGCGGGTGAGACTCGAGCCGTTTTCGCCGACGGTTCCACATTAGACATCCGTCCCTTGCCGGGTTATGTTTCCCTAATTTACGACACCCGGCCCAACGTAAACTGCCACCGAGTTGCCAGCCGAAGACATTACATCCCTATCTACCGCCCCCGCCCCCCCGTGTACTCTTTGCATACCAATGCATTGTCTTGGACGAACAATTTATGCGAATTCCGCCCCCAGACACAAAAGACACTCCTTAGGGTGTCTCGAGTTCGCGGGAATACTTTGATGAATTTTTTAAATCCACCCATGGGGTTGGGCCAATCACCGGAATTTATTTCGAGGAGGTGGAATTTTGAAAATGATTTTTCGGGCGGTTCTTTCCGGAGGCCTACCCTCGATTGGGCGCTTTCTTGGCAAGGGGTGGCTGGGATTTATTTAGTTCAGCCGTGGATCCACTTTAATGGATCAGATTTTCCTTTGAGCCCCGACGTTCCATCGGGGACAGGATTTGCGGAGAAATCCTCTCGCCGTGAAGAATTCTTTCGGAAGGTCGCACCTGTGGCTTCCGGGAGCGGTTCCGCGTCGTGCATACCAACCGCTTTGTCACGGGAACCGATTTGCGCGAATTCTGTCCCATCGGGTTAAAATAGCTCGGCGAGGGTGGTTTTGGAACCTGGAGGGTTCCACCGTTCCGCCGGGCCCAGATGCTGGGGGAGTTTATCCGGGGGGAGTCTCCCGAAAGTCTGGGAATCCGGGGCAAGTTCCTCAGGGAACGCGTTCGCCCCTGGGAAGTTTCCTCGGAGGAATCCGAAAAGGGATCGAGGCCTCTTAAAATTACTCCAACATCCCCTGCGAGACGATTTTGTGACTTCGATTGGTCGGAGACATTTTTAAAGACCCGACGACCTCGATCTGTCAGGGGAATTCTTAAATACCCGACATCCTTGGCGAGATATAATTACGCGGCACCGATGAAATGTAATCTTTTTAAAACCAAATTTTATAAAAGTCGATAAAGAAATTTAAAAAAATATCATGGGTGTCGGAACCTTCCTTGTAGCCTCCGTAATCATACCGTAAGGTCTGAAACGATTCGGTACCCCCCAGGTCGGAGAAAAGTTTCTTCGCCGTCACTTTCCTATCACCTTAAGGATCAGGATCAGGGATCCGGTGTTATTTCGAGGAATCCCTCGGGAAGAACGGCGGACGCACAGGGGAACGGCTCGGGGGTGCGAAAATGGCGCGGAAAGGACGATCGGCCACTTCTAGGGGATCCTCGGAAAGACAACCCAGGGAAATCGGGCCATCCCTGGGCGCCTCCCCCGTTTCCCCAGGAATGCCCGAATCAATGGCGGGAGATACCGCCGCGGAAATTCGAATGGCATCCTTCCACCCCGAGTGGCCTCGGCTCAATAAAATGTCGCCCCGTTGCTCGACCAGCCTCTTCGTCCGGCATTTCTCCCCCTCGCCCTCTGGCAGTCGGTCGATCCCTCTCGCCCCTTTTAAGTCGAGCATCCGGATCAAATTGGTACCAGCTCCCCTCCCCGAGCACCCCCCGCAGACCCCACAGGAACAACGAGGGACCCTTAAGGCTTCGCGACGATCCTGCTCCCTCGGGAATCCCTCTCTCCCTCTCCCGATAACATCCCGTAAATTCCGCGGTTCACTTTCCGGTCCCTCCTCGTTTCTTTCCACCCCCGTAACGATCCTAACCTCAAACCCTTCCGATCGACTCCCCTCCGGAATCGAAAACGCGTAACGAGTCCCCTCGTTTAAGTCACCTCGATTTATCCACGGAGTTGCAAGAAAAAATTCTTCTTTCATCCATTTCTTTCCCCGCACGATTTATTCCTACTTAAAATATCCATCGAATATGTACAAGCTATTTTAGGAAGCTTGCAGTGAAATTATACGAAGTGAACACTTTCTGGAGATAACACGGAAATTGTGCTAAAGGATTAGAGGAACGTTCGAGATTATTCGCCGCCGACGTTATTTATGCGGAATTGCCGCGTTAACGCGTCGATTCCCCCGCGGCGACGCATTTCCGGCGGCATTAAAAACCATAATCGGGCGTTCTTTTGCGAGGGCCTCGCCATGCGTGCTCGCGGGGAACACTCGGGAGAGCTTGACCCAAATTTCCGGAGCTTAAAACGCGTGCGTGGCCGCCGCGCGGAAAAACCGCCCGGTGGACAAATAATGCAAATCGCGCCGCGAGGGTAGATTCGAAGTCAAGGAAACGGAAGTTCCCCGCCGGCGATGTTACCGCGGACTCGTCATTTCGGAGCGCCTTGTCACCCTTATCACAGGGCGAAGCGTCGCGATATCACTCGGTCGCGGAAAGAAACTGGACAGAGTTTTGCGCCGAACTCCCAAGTACGAGCATTCGGGAAAGTCTCTTTACCTCGAATGCCTCGAGGGGAAGAAGAAGACATTTTTAACAGAGTGGATTTCCGAATTCCCGGGCATCCATCCCCTGGTTCGTAGATTAGGTTATTTCGGTGCTCTTCCGGGCGAACATCCCGCCGGCGCAATTAGTCAAGTCAAATAATACACCTCCACTTATTGCCTGGCATCGACCTCGGCAGGGAGAGACGCAACGCGAGCAGGGAATTTCTACCCCGGTAAATTCGTCGCACCCCCGTTTGCCAGGCGACGTTTCCAGGATAGACCGATGTTTTCGTGCCCTGTCGCCTCAGGAGCGAGGAGCACCATTCTGTGTAGCTACAGCTAACTACCACCAATTACGGCCCTTAGGAGTCAGTAATGGGCTTCCAATATCCC